GAATTTTGATTGCAACGAGAGCTTTCTGCATAGCGCGTGTTGTGCAGGACTTGTGTAGAATCGGGATCCGTCATACCATGTAAGCTGTGTTATTGAACTAAAGGGTTGGCGTGTCATTGGATGGGTGATAGTCATTTGACCATGGATAAACTCAGCAAGATAGTCTTTGGAGAGTAGAAGATTGACGGCACTTGGCATACTGAAACCCAGGCTGGAAACAGACTTATTTTTCTTATGATTTTTGTGACTAATATATGTGTAGACTATAATTAGAGAGAGAGATCTAGACTAGATCCAGCATCATGGGAAAGCGCTACTTCATCAACACTGAGTGGTTGTCCAACCCTAAGTATTCAGAATGATTGATGGAGTATCCAAATGATAAAAGCAAGTTTAGATGTAAATTTTGTTCCCAAGTATTTATCATCGGTCATTCAGGTGTAAAAGCTTTGAACACTCACATGGTACCTCAAAAATACATGAAAGCCCAAACCAGCCAGTGTGGTGCCAAATCTATTCTTACGGTTACCAAGAACAGAACAAGTGTTGTGAGAGATACTGAAAGGAGCACCAACAGTAATATAATAGTAGTCAACTAGAGCAGTTGTTGACACGAGTCTTCCCATTCATGAGATGTTTTCAGGCTGAAAAATAGTTGAGATTTCAGTGTAGTTGCACCAAATTGGCTACCTTGGAACATAAATTGGGATTGGGATTGCCCCGGTGATGTAGTCGGCTATCCTGAGATGTGTACGAAATAGCCCCTTCTACGTGATTCTCTTTGACGAGAGCCGTAACACTGACAATGGCAAGAAACAACTTGACCTATAGTGGTAGGATTTTCTTTGGTGTGGTAGGATTTTTAGGAGGAAAATTTCCCTGGCCACTCTGAACGAAAAAAAATATATTCGATCTTTTTTTCTTTTGTTTAGTTCCGTTAAAAAAAAACCCAACTATGCTGTAGATGGATGTTTGAATAATATGTTGGTCGTCACTTTTCTAATAACCGGCGTCTGTGGTGTTGCGATTACGTACTTCGCTGTCGCACGCATGGGGCCTGGGTTTGGTTCCTGGGTGGGAACATTTTTTAAAAAAGCTAACGTACCGGTCTTTTTGTTGAGAGGTCGTAGTATGTCGAGTCGTATCCCCTCTCAGCGTAGGTTAGCCCTGACACACAGGGTCAGAAGCCCTTCTACTAAATGTTTCAAATTGTGGGGGGGCGTTAAAACCCGTTTAAGAAAAGAAAATCCTCGCTCATTTTCCCAGTTTTTCTGGCTTAATGAGTTACCGGAAGCATGGCCACCTTTGTTTATTACAGATCTGTCGAACGTGTCACCCACGTGCCCTGCTGTGCTGCTGCTCGCCCACGCCTCACCATCTCTCCCGTGTCTCCTGTAGTCGTGGCAGAACCCCGCACATTTCACCTTTGTTCCTACCATGTTTTACCAGATCTACACAAACAGTCACAATTTCTATACAATGAATGGTGCAGATTTGATAATGCAAGAGATAGGTCTACTTTACTGCTCCCTCCCCCCTTCCTGTCTTTCTGTCTGGCTGGCTGGCCTTTCTTCCCCCGTTCCCCCCACCCCTCCG